ATATAGACTGATCAATGCATCCCTCAGCAGACCTCTGGCATCCTGCAAATGCGTCTCCAGGCCTTGCATATTACAGACAGGACATACAGCATAATATAGTTTAGCAGCAATGTTTATTCTCACTAAAGCAGAGGTAATTAAAATCACCACATGTACAGAGGCACTTACAATTTTATGTCACAGGCAAACTTGGGGAAAAAAAACCAGGTTTAGTACAAAATAAGACAAAATATGTTGAATTTATTATCACCACTGTTGCAGGTTCTGTACTGTTCAAAACATCTATAACTAGTAGGTACTCATTCTCATGTCCTGCTGGTAGCTCAGAAGTATTGCTGCTTCACTGACTTATCCACTCTTTGCCTGACTGCGGTAATATTTTTAATTAAAATTCTTTAATTCATCTTTTCATTCTTACAGCATTGATTTTTTTAAAAAATAATCCATGCTCTCCTTTTTGCTGCTTTCTATTAACAATTAAATCACCTGTTTTCCAGGAAACTATTGTGATGATATAGATGTAAAATAACATGGTGGTTTCGTAAAAATAATTCATTTTGTCCTGAAAGTCAGTTCACACTGACTTATGTTAGTTGAGTGCCCCTACGAAAAATCAAAATCAGAGCCACTAATTTGCAAAAAATCAGATCCACTTGTAAGTAGTATAAAAAAGCCATGAACTTTCTCCACCTTGGTGGAAGATAAGGAAAATATGGACAAGACAGAGATCGGGTTTTTTTATATTTATGAGGCCTCATCCTTAAAAGAGGTTGCTATTATTTTTAAAACATTTAGGTGACATATTTATTAAATAGTTAAAATAAATGGTTGTGATAGATGAAGACTTACTTTTATGTTCTAGAAGCTAGGAACCCAAGCACAGCAAACCAATCTTCAATAGTAACAAGCCAATCTGTTGCCTTTCCTAACTCCATTTACCCATACCTAATTACACAATGTCTCTTCCAGTATTCTTATTAAATATTAACCCAGAAAAATAACCACTGAATTATAGAAAGAGCAAAACATCAACTGAAACAGAACAGCTTTGACAAAGGGAAAGACAGCAAAAATGGTTTCTGTTCTAGACAAGCTACAATTATTTTGGTCCATATCATATAAATGGAAGAAAATACAAGGTAAATAATTTTCCATTTATTGATTTGTCATTTACCTCGTCAAGACGTCCTGAAATATAACAATTCTACAATTACTCATCAGCCTGCTAGGCTTTTTAACTAGTTTTCTTTCACTATACCTACAGGCAATGTAACTCATGACCTTACACTATCAACGGCTTTTAAAAAACAAAACAAGGTGCAGAGACAAGACACTACTTTTGTGAGGCATTTTAAGAGGTTCTTGAAAAGTACTTTGCTGTCCTTCATCTCTTTACACTAACAGAAGCCAGAACTACAAAATTAATCAGACTACATCTTCTTCAGTATGACCCAATCACTAGTGGCCCACATGGTGAATCTGGTCTCTCAAATTTTGTCAGTGCCAGTTACTTTTCCTTGGAGAAGAAAGAAAATGGCTTTTTGGGAAATGAACAGTCTTTTTATACCTTCTTGCAAAGGATGGGGAAAGGAAAAAATGCAGACAGGCATCCTAAAACTGGGATTCCTTGGAAAATCACTAAGGGTGGGCTGCTTTGATATGGCAATTTCATAGACTTGAGTTGTTCTAGACAGAAGAAGATTACTCTAAACTTTTTAAAACAAAGTAACTTGTAGGGAACTATGACTTTAATACTCATTAACAATAACAGAATAAAACCCAAACATCGTGCTGTCTGCCCAAAGAGCCACATGGCAGTCAACAAAGACCGAGGCCACACAGGTTAAACAAACTGTGAGTCTTAGAAGGGAAGAGAAGGTGTAAGAATAATGTCATCCAGAAATGAAAAAAAAAATGCAAGTTTATAATAATTACTGTAAATAAGGAGATAAGAAATATAGAACCTTGTTAAGAGAGTTGTTCAGCAGATTTCAAGATGGTAAGTGCTGACTAATATTTTCAGGGAATGAAATCCACTCCTCAGGAGAAAAAAACCTTCAATCATATTGATCCATTAGGTGATTACATGAAAAATAATATTTATTATACAGAACAGTTAATGTCTGTCTAAATACAAACCAGAAATATTTATATATGTATGTCACATGATAACAAGGGTGGAATTCTTTACATTCCAATAGCAATACCAGACAATGTTGCAGACTTTAATTTAAAATCACTGTCTCCAGATAAATTGCATGCAAAACTTCTGAAAGTGCTGCCTGACAAGCTTTGTGCACCATTAACATTGCTTTTCAGCAATTCTTGAAACACTCTGTCAGTTTCAGAATGGTGGTAAAGAGCAAACACGTTTCAGCTTTTAAAGAGGGCAATTATAGACCTGTCAGCTGGATGTCAATCATATGCAAAATAATGGAATGGATGGTACAAGACTATAATTAAGAATTAAAACAGGATAACATAATTTATGCCAATCAACCTGGATTTATGAAAAATACATTCCATCAAAGTAATTTGATTTCTTATTCAAAATGAGGTTGCAAGCTAGGTTGACAGTGGTGGTAGACAACACTCTCAATATAAAATATGTAGATTTCTATATGGCATGTGACTGATAACATGCAATATTTGATTAAGAAATCGCAACAAATCAACTTTTAGACTGCACATCAAATGGATTAGTATACTTGTTAGGTCTCAAACGTATGGTGAGAGGAAATTATCATCAAGTACTTGTGTTTCTAGTGGAAGTTTCGCAGAGTTTTTCCTTGGCTGTACACATTTTAACAATTGTTTATTATCTCTGGCAAACAAAGTAATTTCTAATAGAATGTCACAAAGATCGACGATTGCTTAGATAATGAGAAGGACAAGTCACTGATGAAAAGCAATCTGAATTGTATTGTAAGGTGGGCATAATAAAACCAGGTATTTATGATGTAGTCAAAGATTAAGGTACACATTTAGGAACAAAGGAAGTGGTCTTTGCTTAAATGGTGGCAGCTTCAGAAACTGTGGCAAAACAATTATCCTTGAACACATAAATAGGTCAATAATGAGAAAGGGAAGGCTATGCTACTAGCCTTTTCTCATTAAAAAATCATTTGTAGAGAATGATGCAAAATATGATAGCAAAATCCATTAACTGGGAAATAAAAGAAAGAAAAACAATAAAAGAAATGTAATTCCTTCCATCAAAAACTCAGGGAACTTAGCCTGGCTTACAACAAAGAGATTAAGGGAGTCCTATTGATCAGGTAAGAATTTATATGGGAGAGAAAATTTCACGATGGTCTCTTCAGCCTTGGCAACAGGCAGCTGATAATAGAGCAATTCAGAATAGAAATAAATCCACTTTTTTAAAGATTTAAAACTAGGCAGCTGTTAGAGTAATTGTCCCATGTGGAAAAAGATTCTACATCACTGACAGCCTTCTAAATCCAGACTCCAAGCCTTTTATTAATAATCATATCTAGTACACAGAAGAACTAAATCCAGAAATTCTTAGAAACTTTATTACGTACAAGTGAATCATAAAGGACATCTTCCCTTTTTTCATCTTTTTATCCAGATACATATGACACTTTTTCAGTATTTTGAAATATCTAGACTGAACTTTTGTTCAGGATCATGTCTCATGTAATACAATTTACCTTATTAAATACATGCTATACCTATTCAGCATGATATATGACTTACAAAGTATCTTCTAAGATTTAGAACATTCCTGTAAAACTAACCGGATAATGCAAGGGTGAAAACACACTTTAGAATGCCATGTTGCTATGCAGAAGATATTTCATTAGAAATAAAACTCCTCTCATCAGTAATCTTTACTGTTCAAGATTTTTTCTCAATATGCAGTTTGTTAAAATGATGTAACCTATTAACCATGTTTGAACTATTTTGTAAACACAAATCAAGCTAATGGGAATTCATCTTAACATTCACTAAGCCTCTCAAGAAAATCTTCAAATAGGCAATTTTCCATTAGACTGGTAAACTCGTGCAAAAGTGCTAATCCCAGTCTATATACTGGGAACTTAATATGGGGGAGAGGAAGGGGAAGAAATAATATTGATCATTGCTCATTAAAATGTGTTGGAATTATGAACCCAGAGAAGTAAACAGAATATAATTCTAAAACATTATCTTTCCAGTAAGTAGAATATAGAAGATTAATGCCTTAAATGTCAAAGGTTTCCAATATAAAGAAAAATATCAATCTTTGTGTTAAGTTACGCATCTCACTATATACTCTTATTCCTCTGTAGGCTATGGCCTAGAAGCATGGCTACAACAGAAATGTTTGGCCACCATCACCACAAAGGGAAAAGAATTAAAAATTTAAGCTGCATTTTCAAGCTCAATTGAAGAAGAACTTGACATACTGCAGTAACACGACAAGTCAATGTCAAGGAAAGGTTCCAGAACAGAAATTCACTAGCAGCCTGAAGCAAAATACTAACTGCAGCCATTGCTGTCCCTTTGCACCATTCTCCCTTTGTCACAACTTTGGTTAAGAAAGGTCTATAGCAGATACAAGGGCAAGTACAATTGCACTTGGCATTTTTTGATTGCAAAAAGAAAAATGGAAAAAAATTGAAAGAAAAAAAAAAGAAAAAAGGATGGGAAAAAAAGGAAAAGGATTTGCTAGCTTTGTCTTCCCAAGAACAACAAGAGCTTGTCAAACTCAAATAGATGAACTGAGGAAAACTGTGTGACTCACCCTCTGGTTAAGAAACTGGCAGACCAGGTTAGGTAATCCAGGTGTTCGTTCAGGCACCTAACTCTGCCACGCAGACATATATTTAGAAGATGAGTGCTAGTGACCTGTCCTATAACGTGTTTAGTTTCAGAGTCCCAAAGCTGAAATTCACTAACCTTGATTTTGTTTGCCTGTTTTTGTTTTTTTTGTTTGGTTTTTTCTGTTTTTTCCCCCTAGGTAAATTTTGTCCTTTTGATCATAGAATCATAGAATGGTTTGGGTTGGAAGGGCCCTTAAAGATCACCTAGTTCCAACCCCCCTGCCATGGGCAGGGACACCTTCCACCAGACCAGGTTGCTCAAAGCCCCATCCAGCCTGGTCTTGAACACTGCCAGGGAGGGGGCAGCCACAGCTTCTCTGGGCAACCTGTGCCAGTGTTTCACCACCCTCAGGGTGACAAATTTCTTTCTTGCATCTAATCCAAATCTACCCTCTTTCAGTTTAAAGCTGTTACCCTTGTCCTATCACTACCTGCCCTTTTAAAAAGTCCCTCTCCAGCTTTCCTGTAGGCCCCCTTCAGGTACTGGAAGGCTGCTAGAAGTTCTCCCCAGAGCCTGCTCTTCTCCAGGCTGAACAGCCACAACTCTCTCAGCCTTTCCTTACAGGAGAGGTGTTCCAGCCCTCTGATCATTTTCCTGGCCCTCCTCTGGACCCACTCCAATAGGTCCATGTCTTGCCTGTGCTGAGGGCTCCACAGCTGAACACATGACTCCAGGTGGGGTTTCACCAGAGCAAAGGGGCAGAATCACCTCCCTCTACCTGCTGGCCACACTGCTTTTGATGCAGCCCAGGATACGGTTGGTCTTCTGGGCTGCTAGAGCACACTTCCGGGTCATGTTGAGCTTTTCATCAACCAGCACCCCCAAGTCCTTCTTGGCAGAGCTGCTCTCAATCCATTCCCTGCCCAGCCTGTATTTGTGCTTGGGATTACCCCGACCAATGTGCAGAACCTTGCACTTGGCCTTGTTGAACTTCATGAGGTTCGCACAGGCCCACCGCGACAGCCTCTCAAGGTCTCTCTGGATGGCGTCCCTTCCCTCCAGCATGTTGACCACACCACAAAGCTTGGCATCATCAGCAAACTTGCTAACTCAATTCCACTGTCCATGTTGCCAACAAAGATGTTCGGCAGTGCCAATCCCAATACCAATCCCTGAGGAAGACCATTCATCACTGGTCTCCACTTGGACATCAAGCCATTGACCACAACTCTTTGAGTGTGAACAGACAATTCCTTATCCACCAAGTGGTCCACCCATCAAATCCATGTCTATCCAATTTAGAGACAAGGATGTCACGCAGGACAGTGTCATATGCTTTGCACAAGTCCAGGTAGATCACATCAGTTGCTCTTCCCTTATCCAACAATGCAGTAACCCTGTCATAGAAGGCCACCAAATTTGTCAGGCATGATTTGCCCTTCGTGAAGCCATGTTGGCTGTCACCAGTCAATTAAGTTAATTAACTAAATGTCTGTGCAATGCAAAGTCTATGAATTTGGGTTAAGAAAATACATTTTACACAAAGGAGAAATTTCTGCCAATGTTATCTTTAAGGAAGTCACTCCCTTTTAGCATCTTCTAGCAGCAGCGCTTCTCAGTCACAGGAAAGGTTTTTGTCACAGCTATTCCATTTGCACAGTAACTACTTGTGGAGAATATAAATCTGTGATCTCGTTTACCCGTGCTTCTGTTACAGAAATCCTCACAAATAAGATGAAGAAATACACACACAACCTTTTTTGTTTTTACTACCACCATGGAATCTTGTTCTGTTTTTAGATTTCCAGTGTCTCACAGAACTACCAAAGATTGCTTCCAAATGAGGTGTGTTACTGATTGAACTGCAAGTGGTATAGTCTCTGCTGTGTTTCATAGGTACTGTTGATTACCGATCTGCTTGGCCTTGTGCACGCACATATATATATATATTCCTATACAATCATAAGACTCATAGAATCATTAAGGTTGGAAAAGACCTCTAAGTTCATCAAGTCCAACTGTCAACCCAACACCACTATGCCTGCTAAACCATGTCCTGAAGTGCCACATCTACACGTTTTTTGAATACCTCCAAGGATGGTACCTCAACCAATTCCCTAGACAGCCTATTCCAATGCCTGACCACTCTTTTAGTAAAGAAATTTTTCCTAATACCAAATTTAAACCTCCTCTGACACAACTTGAAGCCATTTCCTCTCATCCTATCGCTAGTTACTTGGGAGAAGAGACCAACACCCGCCTCACCGCAACCTCCTTTCAGGTAGCTGTCGAAAGCGATCAGGTCTCCCCTCAGCGTCCTTTTCTCCAGACTAAACAATCCCAGTTCCCTCAGCTGCTCCTCATAGGATTTGTTCTCTAGACCCTTCACCAACCTTGTTGTTCTTCTCTGGACACACTCCAGCACCTCAATGTCCTTCTTGTACTGAGGGGCCCAAAACTGAACAATGTATTCAAGGTGCAGCCTCATCAGCGCCGAGTAGAGGTGCACAATATATATATATATTTTTATATATATATAGTGTGTGTGTATATATATATACACACAACACTAAGAAATCTTAGTTGCATTTTATCAGCTCATATCAGGGAAATGCTTCTTTACTTTTAATATCATTTACTACATTATGGTATGCTATTCCATTTGTGCAACTGTCACACTTAGGGAAGTTTAGGAGATGACTCAGATCACTGACTGTGTAAATGCTTACTTCTGCAATTTTGTCAGTTTACGGGAAAACATAAAACTCCTGCTAAAACTCAGGATACGATGCTATGTCAGTTAGTGAACATATTTGTTTCTATTCAACACAACTGCCAGGAAATAACACATAAAACTGATTTGAAATTATGACAGAATTACATGAAGTCTTCAACTGAAATATTTACTGATAGGCCATTCAATGCTGCATTCATGTGTAGCTATAACAAGATACTTGGGAATCAGATGAGAAATTAATGCTTGTATTTTGTTTTCACGTTTTCAGTCATGAATCTGTAAATATTTGAATTTACTGTTTTATGTGGTTGGCTTCAATGTTACTCAATATAGCTAATGACAGATACATTTAATTTATTCTCAGTGCAACTAATGGCTTTTGAAGTACAGGAAATGTTCATTGTGTCCATCCATCCATCACCTTTTGACATGTAAATGGATCACTTGAAAATTCATGTTTACGTTACTGATTTGCTGTCCCGTAAATATTTCAACATTTATTATTCTGCTCAGCTGGACAACTTTCCATAATTATTCTAGTAAGTGTGTTCCATTGCATATGGAGCTCAAAGAAAATTGATCAAAAATCTTAATATTTGCTTCATATATTTATCCAAGCTGAAGAGTAAAGACGGATGACACTGCGTCCTGGTTTTGGATGGGATAGAGCTAATTTTCCTCCCAATAGATGCTGTGTTTTGGATTTAGTACAAGCATGTTGATAACACTGATATTTTCAGCTGTTGCTATGAAATCAAGGACTTTTTCCGGTTTCTCATATTGAGCTAATGAGCAGGTGTGCAGGAGCTGGAAAGAAGCACATCCAGGAGGCCAGCCAAGCTGGCTAACAGAAAAAATCCATACCATAGATGTCATGCTCAGTTTACGACTAGGGGTTGACCAGGGGGGAGGGGGATGGGGGGGCGGGACAGGAATCTGCTCTTGTCTTTTCCATGAGTTCAAATCCTCCCTTGTCTGAGAGTTCAAATTTTGGGGGGAATTTAGTGAAATTCACAGTTTCCAGGTTCCACTATCATTGCTCAGGGACTGGCTGCAAATCGACCATTGGGTGGTGAGAAAATTGTATTGTATATAGTTCGGTTTTCATATTCTTTAGTAGTAGTAGTGTTTCCTTTGTTGCCTTATTAAACTGTCTTTATCTCAACCCACAGGTTTTACTTTTTGTCCTTTTCTCCTCCCCATCCCACTTGCGGTGGGGGGATGGAGGGAAGGGGTGAGAGAGCAGCTGTCTAGTGCTTAGTTGCTGGCTGCCAGTTTAAACTGCAACACACTGTCATTTTTACTGTGCTCTATCCTAGATTACTGATGGACAACCGATCTGAACTTAAGAGTTAATATATTGTGTTCACATGACTAGCAGTCATACTTGAAAAGCAGTTCCAT